AAGTGGAGTGGTTGAGCCAAAGTGGCCGTTGGAAAAACGGCCACATTTTAATATTCAGAGGCCGGCTACGGCCAAAATGGTGACCAATCCGAAAAGTTGTAAAACAATTTTTTTTAGTTTTTCAGGGACTGCAATCCCTGAAGGGAAAAAATACAAATTTTAACCAGTTTCCCATACAAAATATATAGAAAAAAGAGCTGGGTCAATCTGACCCGGAAGGACGTATAGAGAACGTGTGTGTTATAACGCTCTGTATCACACATATGTACTATATGTACATTATACATTGCATAGCCAGAGGTCCAATGCACACATCCATACCAATATTTCTTCATAATATTATTTTTTTATATGTTCACGTTGGAAAAGTGCGTTGGGTCAATTTGACCCGAAGGACGGTTTGAAGGTTAATAAGTGATAGATTTTCAGGATGAATGAGTTGCATTAGAAACAGTATTAGCTCATGTTACACTCGCGTTGGATAGAAATTCATGTTACGTTTTTAGGAAACAATATTTTATGTTCGGTTGTTGCTGTAACAGATCTGTATTCCCGTTTTTATGCTCAGAGACACATATTCATAAGGCGTATACGTCCTTGTCAATATTTTTATATAATCCACTTGAAGGCACATTGAATTGAAGAATATTCTGGACACTATATTGGGCTAGTCGGATTTCTCAATATCTTCGATACATCTTATTTCTTTGTTTAATTTTCATTCACATTCCAATAGATTGAATGGCGTTTATGAACGCTGCAATTAGTTTATTATTCTACATGTTTTTCTATTTAAATTCTGCAGGCATTCCAATGGCTGTACTGATGACAGTGAAGACCAACCAGATGATGGCCAAAGCTTGAGTCGATCGGCATCCGAGAATAGTGTGGCTCAACATGAACGAAATAATAACAGTAGTACCAACAACGAATCAATCAATGGGTATGTAGCCCGAACAATGTACGGATATTTTTGAGCGATGTAAAATTATGACGCATGCCGTATCTACAACTTTTTATTTTGGGTGTAAAAAATTGAAATTATTTGAATTGCGATTTATAGGTCATCGGCAAGCCCTGAAAGTGGTTTGGGAACATCGCACACATCTTTGCATGGATCCGGTCAAGAAAACACTAACGAACAAATGATAAACGATGAAATGTATTATGAAGTGGAACCTCTTCAACCATTGGGTACCTGTAAAGCATTATACGCTTTCGATGGTCAGTATCAAACAGCATTGATTGCTGTAGCTGGCAGAGAAATGAAGAAATTATTTACAATTTATCTATTTATCGTTTACAGCAACAAGCGAGGGTAGCATTCCAATGGCAGAAGGTGAACAATTGCATGTAATCGAACTAGATCAAGGCGATGGTTGGACGCGGGTACGTCGCATCACTGATGCTTCCGGTTGGGAAGAAGGGTGTGAAGGTTTCGTTCCAACTAGTTATATTGAAAGTACTTTATATGCATAGAGCAAGCATAAGCGAACAAACATTTAAATAAAATTATAATCCATTAATTGATCACAAAACATACAAACACTGAAAAAAGAAGGTGACCATATTTAATTAATATATAAAACATATATTTTGTTTAAATTTATTTGACATTCTAGAATAAAGCAAACATCAAGCTCAAAACGATCAATCATAATAATTAAATTTAAAAAAAAAAACATTGCTTGCGCTTAGACAAATGTGTATTTATATTTTTACAAAAACTTATTTAATGTATTTTTTCGTTATTCCATCATAAAGGGTATTTCAAAACTTTCTTCAACAGATTTAAGTCAGAGACATGTGCGCAAAGAATACACTGTATTAATTCATTGGTTTAATAATCATTTGAGAATAAAAATTTAATTTCATTCAAAACCTAATCAAAGACACACTTCTGAAAGAATAGAGGAAAAACAAACAAACAAACAAATTTAATGAATAAATTTTTGCCAGAAGACTTTTTATTTTCTATGCTGTTAATTCTTTATAAATTAGGTGAATTTAAAACTTTAACAGAAATTGCATCATTTTACGCGGTCCCAATAGTGACAGAAAACAGAAATCTACGAATTCATGAAAATTCGTCTTAAATTTTTATCATTGGCTATTCGATAAAAATTTAGTTTCTTTATATTGCGAGGATTTTTTTTCAATTCGTTCCGATCTATGTTTCGGTTTTTTCGATGTTTTTGAATTTTTCATTTATTTTTTATTTTGAAAAAGTGACTGCGAATTTCGAAATTTTCTGTAAATTGACCTGTCACCGATATCTTCTCTCTGGTTTTCTGCAGTTGAAAAATCGCATCATGTATTGCATTTAAACTAATAAAATTATAAAAATAAATAACAAGTCTTTTATTAATATTTGTACTACTAAGAGTATTTGATGGTGCACAACACACATAAATAAATAAATGAACATTTGATTTCTCGTTATACAAACTGTGTGTTAATGGAACCGCAAACTGTCCTCCTGTATGCAACGACATTGCAGCAGGCGAGAGTGCTCGTACTTTGCTACAAACTATTCAAAAATCAAGGATGATCTCATAGACCGACAACATAGAGCTCAAGTGCCACAAATGTACAAGTATGCCAACAAAGTGATTGATTTATTTAAAAATTCAAACCAAAAATTTAATTTAAAATACTGACAAATTATCTTTCATATCTCTACCAGATGTATAAAAATAATGATACATATCTGTGACTTCTCTATGGATGAGATTGTGAGCAGAGTATGTCTAATAATGTAATCTTCTATTTATATTTTTGAAAAGGCGAGTATGTTTTCCGATTGATGATTCTGTTGGAGTTAAAGTGAAGTATGTTCATATGCCTTATACATATGAGTGGCTGAAAATAAAAATGACTAAACTAAAACAGCTTATGGATAAGAGAATCACGATTTTCTTGTTTTTCTAAAGTGCAACATGAATTTCAAGCAAACTTTAAAGTGATTTATGAAATATACGTTGATTGAGAAATTGTTTTTCACTTTTATTGGAACGACTATTGAAAGATGGCCAAATCTTAATAGCCAAATTTGAGGCTGATCCGAGCGGAATTCGGAAAAAATAAATTGATCCACCGTCCCGAAGGGTACACTGCTAAGTACTTTTACTTCCAGAACACTTTGGGCCAGGTCGAATCCATGGATCCTCACTTTAAGGTTGCTTGAAATTTAGATTGCACTTTTAAGAAGAAGAAAATTTTGATTCACATGGTAGAAACATTTCAACAAAAGTCATTTATTTCACTCATATAGCTCTTATCATTTTTTACGATTTTTGAGCTTTTTGCTTAACTGGTAAGAGATAACTGTCTTCAGAAAAGCTGTAGAGGATCTCGGGTATTACAACTCTGCCGAAGAGACCTAACCGTTATATATTATTATTCTGTGAAAACCGTGAAAATCCGTGGTAGCCGACAAAAATAGATATATACCCGCCTTTGAACATTTTTAAGTCGAAAGAAACTTACTTTTCTCTTTCATAACAAAGTCAGTGAATCATTTCGATTGGTATAAAATTTAAAAAATTGATTGGAAATGATTTTCGTTGTTTTCTTCGAAATTGTTTGTTGTTGATTACTAAAATGAAATCATTTTCTGATAAAACTAACGGAAATGTTTCTTATTTTGATGCTGTATGATTGAAGAAGGAAATGATTAAAGCGTGACTCCACAGAGAACTGTGGAATAGACGAAATGAACGGGAATTCCTTAGATTGTAAAAACGATAGCATCAAATGTTATCAGCGATATTTTGTAACATAAAATTGAGCATTACGAATAGATGTAGCCGAATGTTTCTTTTTTCACGAAATATGATGAATATGAGACGCACGTAAGCAAGTATCACACGATAATATCGCCATATCTGCCTCATGCGATATAGAAAATATGCGTTTTGGACACATTGAACAATTTTGTGAGTAACTGTATGTTTAATTATATATTTCAATGGCAACGAGACAACTCAGTAAAATATACTGTAACAAACATAATCTGTTTTTAGGATGTTTTTTGGGTTTTTGAGGACATTTTTAGGTTTTTTAAAGATGTTTTTTGTACCATTTTTCGGACGAAATTGGGGTCTTTTACAATGTAGGTCAATTTTTGTAGTTTTTTAGGACGATTTTTGTATTTTGTCAGGACGATTTTTGTGATATTTAGGATGATTTTCATAATTTATAGGACGATTTTTGGGTTTTTTAGGACGTTTTTCGTTTCACCCGTACACTACTCTCAATTTTACCTATAGATCTATTTCATGAATTTGGTTACATTTTATATAGCCATCCATTATGATGGTGATTATTTTTTTTGACCTATCATAATGGAAATTAGTTGAGTAATGTCAATGTTTTTACGTAAGCCAATTCTAATTGTTTCGATGTGAATTTAAAATTCAAAACTACCAACAGGAACATGTTTGGATTAGACGTGAAACTTCTCTTCAATTTATCGCCTCTTTGATAATTTGAACAATAACTTTTACAGTCATTAAATGAATTAATTGAAATAAATAGTACTTGTGTATAAATTTTAGAAAAGATTTGTTTGCAAACAGCTGATTCGGTTACACATAAAAACTGTTAAATTCATTTCAATGAATTATCTATCAAAATTTAAACCAATCAGAGCGTGTTTTGAGCTGACGTTAGCAGCACCAACTAACGTCAGCTGCTGATGAGTATGCGTTGCGTTGTTTTAACGCATTTGCAGTATGAAAGCGAAGAGGCAAGCAAACATCTCATTGGTATGTTTGAAGAATATCTCGTTTTTATACTGCAAATGCGTTAAAACAACGCAACGTATACTCGTCAGCAGCTGATATCAGCAACTGACGTTAGTAAGTGCTCCTGACGTCAGCTCAAAACACACTTTGGTTTAACGTCCCGGTTAGACCGATAACAATTCGGCATCCATAGACATTTTCATGTGCGGTCATTTGCTTATTCATGAATCAGGTTTTCTTTTTGGCAGTGTCAAATTGATTGAAAATACAAATAGTTATGTTGTAGAAAAAAAATGCCTTTTTTCCTCATTCCTACCTTAAGTTTTATTTGACAAATGAAGTAGAAGAAAGTTTTGTACAAAATTAGGTATGAATGTAATATAGGCTTTTCGGCGGTATCTTATTGATGAATCTTCAGTTGGAATCTTTTTTAAACTCACTCATTTGGTTTTCTATATTTCGCTTGAATCCACACCCGGTACATTTTTAGCTGCTTGCCTCGATTCACTTGCAACCGTCGATCGACTATGTTCTGCCCTTCAACAAATCCGGCATTAAGGAATCGCATTCGAATTTCATCTATGGAAATAATAAAATACAGATACAAATTTGAAAATTTTTCGGTTCGAATTTTTCCTTCAGTTACAACCTTGATCGAAGAAGTAAACTAGTGTGCCATCGCCACGAGCATAAAAGTTATTCTGCAAACATTTGCCAGCTTTAAACCGTAATTGAGCAAGATCATATCGGCCATAGTCTCGGAACAACACTTGACCAGTACCGGGTTTCAAGTACTTGAAACAATTTTCGAGGACGGTTTGCATTCTGGTACGGGAAAACGGATATTGAGTATACTACACTGCAATTTCAATGGGATTTTTATTACCTTTCAGGTTTTATTGCAGATAATACGAAAATCATGACAATGATATCAATGGAATTTTCGCCGAACGGCAGACTGTCCTGCCAGTTTTCATTTGTTGCATCCAATACAAAAACTTGGCAGCGTTTTGAGTCAAAATTCTCATTTTTTTGTAGGATCTCAATGGCACGAGGAGAAAAATCACAACCATATATCTGCACATTGTCGTCATTGTTATATTTGAGTATTGGTAAGATGGTATTTCCCACGCCGCAGCCTATTTCAAAAATATTAAATGATTCGCTGGTACTATGTGAAGTTTTTAACTCCGGAAATTCAGTAAAAAGCCAGTGACGGTCCTTGAAAAACTTATTCTGATGAAGATTGTAAAATGCATTCCAATTGGTGTCCGCTTCGTTTATATATTTCGAAACTTGTTCCGTCGGCATTACTATTGCAGAATTTTTTTGCACACTTTCAAGAGCAAGCTTCTCCTGTTCTTCATCCCACTTTACATCGTCCCATGCATTGTGTTTAAAAACATTGTCATCTTCAGTCAGATAGCGGTTGCCGAATTGTTTCCTGGTTTCGTTCGAAGTTTCCCCCATTTCAATACACGACGAACAGAAAACTTTGAGCGACACTAAAAACGGTCAAATTCGAGGTTAAGACTGGATATATAAAAAAAAAGTTCCTTTAATTTTCTCTTCCAATAAATTCCAATGAATAAATTTCAAGTTTTATAGTAATTGCTTGATGCAAAATTAAATTAGTTTTGAACTGAAATTCGAGACACAACGGATAACATTAGTATAAAATACAAATCATGTGGAATCAGCACACTGTGTTTGTACTTGACTGTCAGAAGTGTCAAAATTTCGGGGTACACACATACACAACCACATATGTACGTGTATATGTTTGTAAGACAAACATGTCTTTCTTGCTATCTCTGTCGGAACTAAAAATTCCCATTGGTAAAGTCAATTTTGGACACTATAAGACAAGTACAAGTGTGAAAAACAGCTGAACGTACGTGTCATATGACGTTTTGAATGCATACAAGACCAAACACAATTCTGACCGTATCCAATGCATATACCGTCGTAATGACTGCAAAGATATTGTAATTCTCAAATTTCAAGATTTCTGTATTGTGCTCCTTCGAAAATGTAAATAAGTTGAACTTTGATTTAGTACTAAGTAAGTAAAACATTCATTTATTTTCATTAGTAATTTTAATGGCCGTTGCTTGTTTGGGATCGGTAATTATTTTGTGAATTTGCCTGTTTGGTTCTTTGTTCATTCACCATTTCGTGGTAAGAAAAGAGATGTGAGATATTCGCATGTACTAATAAAGAGTGAAACTCAGAAAACCCATTTGAAAATCCACTTGAATAGCCCAGCGTAATAAATTAAATTTGGTTCGAGACATTGAAAACCAACAATGAAAAATGCACGTCTGTATGCGTAAAGTGAAGTTGGTTGATGCGCCCAAATGTAAACCAATCCGCGATTCATTATCGTTGGTGTCACGGATATGCGCATTTTTTATCGTCGCATACATACAAACATCAAATGACCAATCTACGCAAAAGTATATTCATCTTCCGATTGTATATATATATATATATATATATATATGCACTACAATGTAATGCATGACAAGATCAATCTCTCGTTCAAATTATCATTATTGTTTGTTCGAAAAAAAACCATAAGTGAAATTCATGACAATGTTTGGCGTTTGCACAAGCATGTATGTATGACTATCAATTCGATTTACACACATACATGTAGAAAATATTCGACAAGCGCAAAACATGCACACGCCATTGCCTTTAGCTTGTGTTCTGCTGTTTGGAAACACTCTCTACATTCTTCAATGCAACCCGAATTCACAAGTATTTATGATTTCAGTTGTGTGTATTTGTATTTGTATTTGTTTGAATACTACTACCTACTTTTTCCTTTGTGTATTCGACTGTCAGTCGATGTCAGTAGTCAGCTTTACACTTATTATACAAGTATATTAATGTGTGTAGTCTTTTTATTCTTTTTTGCAAATGAAAACATGGTGTCCAGGGAGTGGCAGAGTGTTTTATATTGTATCAAAGTGTTGAGTGCTGAAAATTCTGAATGATTTTGCAAACGATAACACGATAAAGAAAACTACAAAAACCAATCCAAAATAACTGGCATTACCAACCAAGTCACAAGTAATAAAGTTTTTGATTGTTAACATTTCATTCTTGACAAATAGCATGGGATTAAACAAAAAAAACACAACAAAATTTGATTATATACATAACAATAATTTTATTTACTCAACAAAGTTCATCCCAATAAAAGTCCAGAGTACTTACTCTTTGCCAGAGTATTTCTATTGATTCGAAATTTAAAATCAGCAGTGGAATAAAAAAATTTAAGCAATTTTTCAAATATTGTTATTTGATCGAAATTTAGTTGTGTGAATTTATGAAAAAAAAAATTATAGAAATGATTGGCAAAAAAAAACCGGCAACGACAAACGCCATAAATACGGCAAATGTTGAGCAGCTCATCTATAAGAATCGCGATAAGACAGCAAAAATACATACATCACATACATTTACTATAAATTAATATCCAACGAAACAACAAATAAAATCAGTTGAAATGAGAGAAATGGTAGTTTGTCTGTTTGTGTGCATGTCATACTCTCACTCAGATTTCTTCAAATTAAAATGGAATCCAATTGAATAAAAAAAACTACAAAATCGAATCGAACAACTCAAATTTAATCTCATTTATTCTATTGAAAAATGGATTGGATGCATCCATAGTGTGGTGCATTCTTGTGAAAATTCTAATGAGAATTTTAATAAAACATACGCATATAGTGCAGATTGCTTCCGATAAGTCAAAAACAGAAAGAAAAAAAAATCATGAAAAATACGTATCGTTAGTTATTTAAAATTGAATTCGACCAATAAATGCTTGTCTTTGCATTATTCATTCATCGCCGGCTAATTGGATTCAACTTTGGTCTGCGCAAACGCTTGAGCTACGAATTTTGCTTGTGTGTGTCTCCTCTGTTAATCATCGGCATGAAACATGTTGTTACTATTTTTCTCTCTACTATCTATCAATCAATATTGGTGGTACCCGTTCCGCAAGGAAAAATATTTTATTAAGATAAAAAAAATTGAAAGTGTAAAAAATCGATCAATTAAAGCGAATGCATTTGATTTAGTGTTTAGTTTGCCGGTTTTCAATTGCACATATACTTAGTAAAAATGAAAATATTTCAAGCAAAATATCGAATACATATTTAGCCTAAAGATTGAATATTTCTCACTTTGTCATTTCAAATTCGTTAAATTTTTTGTGTGACGCTTTCCAATCAATCACTAATTGTGTGTCGTGTATCTGAGCAAAAGTTTCTACGTGTATTTACTGCTTTGAAGTCAAATTTTCACGCCTCCTGCCTTTTTACCCGATTTCAATTACTTTGATGGGTGTCAAAAGAAGCTGGTCGCTGTTTAGTTATTCCGTCAATGAATAAAAACAAATCAATGTGAAAACAGATTAAAATTCCATTCAAATACAAATAAAGACATAAACGCATATGATGATTTTATCAAAGTGTAATTTTTCACTATTCAAAATATAATCGATTGAAATGATTTAAGATTAAACTATAAATCCGAAAAGAACCGATCTGAAAAACTGTAAATATTAATGAGTATAATAATTCACATGCACAGAAAATTGTCTACAATCAAAGAATAAGAAGAAAAATACAGTATTAATGCATCGGAAATGAATTTTTTAAAAAATTAAAACATTTCCATTCAATAAAATGAATAAATTAAACTAAGTTCATTCATTTATCTTTCATCGCTTTTAGACGGAAGCCTGAAATCATCGCTCGAGCTCAAGTCCATACAATTATATGTATATAATTAAAAACCTACAGCAAATCACCATCAAATTAAATTAGTGTTCACTGTTGGAGCATTCACTGTTGCTGCTACAGCCGTCAACTATTACAACTACAAAATAAAAGACAATAGGATAACCGAACAAACCTAAACGCACCACAACTGCTGGCCAATATCCACTTTTGGGCTGGTGCAGTTAGGGTTATGGTAGTTTTATTGAACGCAAAGAAGACTAGCTACAAAATGATGGTAAATATGGGAACCGTTGTTATTCACTAACTCTGTTTAAATTTTTCGAGACCATTTTGTAACAATTTCTATTTTCACTGAACGTTCTAGGCGAATAAGTTGCATTCAACATTTTATTTGGTATTTGATTAGACCTCATACTTATATCACATGTTTTTTTTCATTCGCGAGTTGATTTGTCAGTTCATTTTTGGAAAATTTTCCCAGTAAAGCAGTACTTTGGTTCTATTTTTGTTGAAAAGTTTCATTCACTTCGATTGTTTGACACTTTTCTTCGACATTTGTACGAACCGCAATGTGCGAAGAAAAGAGATGGCATACAAATGGACAAATGTATGGAAACCATAGAAAAAGCTTTGTTTGCGCAGTCTCTTGTTATAGCCGCTGAGTACCAAATATCATTCACTGGTATTTGTGTGACATCCCAAATGTAATCTTTTCTCTCGTTTTCATTTCCTTCAGTGAATTCACGTTACCATTGCAAAAACCGAAATTTTCATTTCCCGTACGTAAAACGCGAGACTTGCCAAGAATGAAGAAGCTAAATGTGTATTCAATACAAATATTTTAATGTATTTGTTTCTTTTTTTTTAATATGACATAAGGATCATTTATGAATAATTTGTAACGTCGAAAATATCAACCAAATTAGTAGAATTTTTCAGAAGATCTGGCATTAGAATGTTCGATATTGGAACTCAATATTTGAAAATCCATATATCATTTCATTGAATTTTGTGCTATCTTAGAACATCATATTTGCATATGGTAACCGTTAAGCAAAGCACACAGTTACAAAGATCGATAGTGATTTTTTTTATGTTAAGGATGACATGACTTTCTGTGTAGGATTCACACACGTGAGAAAAAAAAACAAATTGATCCGATTTTCGTGGAAATGAACTCAAACGTCACAAGGAACAATGATTTTTATCAACTAAATTTGACAAAGTGGAAGTTCAGTACGTTCATTTCTTTATCTATCGAACACAAATGCAAGTTTTTCCATCTAGTTTGTCGTTTGAGGATGTCGCACCCGCTTTCAAATTGTTCGTAGTTGTGTGCACTCGACACACTCTTGAATAATCAATAAGTGTTCGTATGAATATCACACATACGTTGGCGTAGACGAGCGCACTGCACTATGAATTAATATCCGTGCACATGTCAAAAGCCGATATTATATTGTTCGTGTGCTGTTCAGATGCAGAAATATATAATTTCAGTTTATCACGGATAATCCATATAATTCGGAGGATTCTTGTCGATTTCATTAGATCGAATATAATGAAATTGCAGAAGATTCTTGTTGAAATCTATGCAATTGGATGAAATATAGTTTTGTTGAGTATTTGGGTTTTTTCTTCTGAAAACTCAGCAATATTTTACGTACAAAATTATTTCATCAATTTAGGAATATGGGATATGGTTTATCATTCAAAATTACAATTATTCAACAAAATGTATTTCCTTATTTTTTCAGTTTTGCATTCATTTTTTTTTTTAATTTTTCATCCTATATTCCCCACGCTAATTCATTGTATAATCAATGCATCCATATAGATTTGATTTAGGACTCTTTAATAATCCTTTTGGTCATTCACATTATGCATAATAATAAATCTATCTATGTAAACGTAGAGAATTTTAGTATAATCTGACCAATTATTCCAATTACATTTTCAACGTTTACTTCATATTGAAAAACCGTTTTCTTTTGCTCAATTTGTTACAAAAAATTCAATTTTGTATTAATTCAGACTTGAAAATACCGTATGATACTGCCTCATTGATTAATGCTGAAATATTTTAAAATTCAAAAAAATTCTATTCACAATTTTCTATTTGATGTAATGAACTTTGTCATTTTGTTTTTCTCCAAAAAAAAGGGTAGTACAGCTGTGCCACGTAATGCATACCCAAATATTTCGCCATCAGTGTCAGTTAAAGGACCTCAAAGGACTGTAATGTCGAGTCCTGCGGCTAGTAATATAACCGGTGCTCCATATAGAGGAACCAATTGGACCCAACACGGTTACAACGCGCAACAAGCATATAGATATACATCTCCATTGCCGCAGCCGGCATATACAACATACACTGCTTCTCAACAGGCCACACCGGTAAGAATTTGTTGTATTTTTTGTTTGTCTCAGATATGAATAGAACATTTTAAGATAATTTCGAAAATATCAATTTTTCTAATTGAGAATCGACACTCATGTATTGAGACTACATCGTCAAATGATTTCAGACTAGAGTCTCGAAACGGTGGCTATAATGTTAAAACCATCCCCGTTGCGATAATAATAAATAAACTGCTATGATGGACACCAGCTGTGGATAAACAGCAGTATACAAACATCTTGAATACTGAGGAAAATCAACAAGAAAAAGCTTTTTTTTAGCTTGTAAATTGTTCTTTCGTGCGCAGACTAGATTATCAAATTGCTAGAATGAAAGCTTCTGTCTTCATTTTGACAAATTTGCTATTTATAGGAATCAGCAAGTGCCTTTTTTTAATTCACTCAATGATTAAAAATGTCTCATCATTTCCATAATATTTCTCCATACATTTTGCCTTGACGCAATCAAAGTACGTATATGTATACAATCTGCGTAATTTTTTGCGCATCCATGTCATTACAATTTTCGTTTTAGTTCTACACTCAAACATTCAATGAAATTCATTTGGCCAAAAAAAATTGAATGCTTTAAAAAGGCGAATGGATTTAATAGAGGCATTCAGATTAACACCTGCTCTCAGAATTCAAAGGAGGCAAACTAAAAAACATATAGTGTAAAACATCAAATTATCCACTGTGTTTTCGCCATTGTAGGCAAAATGTCAGTTTACCTACATTGTTGGTGAGATGTTGTTCCATTGTATTAACAATGTAGGTAAAATGACATTTCGCCGACAATTTTAATACAATGGACGTAAACTGACATTTTGCCTACAATGGCGAAAACACAGTGGGTAATTTGATGTTTTACACTATATATTTTTTCTAGTTTGCCTCCTTTGAATTCTGAGAGTGATTTATGTAAAACTCATTCAATTATATTTCAATAATTGGTTCTCCAACTGTTCAATGTATCGTACGAACAACAACGGAAGGACTTCCAATGGAAGTTTTTAAAGATTTTAGCTCCAGAAACTCCCCGATTTTTTTTCTTCTCAAAATCAATTAAAGAAGGATTCTTTACGTCCAACTAACCGTTAGAAAAATGATTATTTTCTCCCTTCTTGAACTAATTGAAAAATTGAAATGGCACTTTTTAGCATATTTTCTCTTTGTCTTCAATTCAATTTACAAACAAATCTCATTTTCACCTCTAACGAATTGATATGAACGTCCAACGAATTTTTAAAAAAATAAGTAATTTTATCTCTATAATTGCACAACAAATTGCACAGAAAATTGTAAAACTATATCAATGTTTTTTTTTGTGATTTTGAAAAATTAAATCAAAACAAAAGAGAATAAAAACAAAAAATTCAGTAATTTACTGTTATAATTATGTCAAAAAAAACCTCTAGACGGGGTTAAAATGGAGTAACGTTCCAGTGCTTGGATTTTCCATTCAAAATGACTGATATCATCTTGAATGACTCTAGGACGCTGTATTATCAATGACGACAACCATTTAATGACGTCGGAATGTATTTGACGCTGTTTGCAATACTTTTTTGCCTATCGTTTTCCACTATGTGGAGGTGGCTGTTGGAAACAAACTGTAGAATACGTTTGAATAAAACACAATAAAGCTAGTCAAATGGAAGTTAAAATTACCATAAAATCTAATTTCAGAGCAAAAAAGACTGAATTTGACTTTGTATTTTTGAATATTCATTAGTATTCTTAGAACATTACATTTTTTTAAAAACGTTTTTATATGAAAACGGTGCATAGAGTAATCTGAATTGGTATTTACTTGATTGGCTATACTTTTCCAACCAATGAGAAATGCAATTATTATAATCATTTGCTTTTTAACCAAAAAATATCTGAATACAATGTTCATTTTGCTGAAATGGAGAAAATTACCATAAAATGTACATGATTCACACGTTTTATGTTCAAATCTGTTGAAACTTCAAGTGTTAGAACATCCAGGTGATACCATCTGATTGATAGCCGTGTTACCACGGAAATCAGCTAGAAGAAATTTGATTTTTTTGTTGAATTCATTCAAATTTTAAGATTTGCCATTATTTTGGAGACAAAAAAACTTAATTTCATAATCCATAGATTCTGATATACCATGCTTTTCGTTTTTGTCTTATCCTTCCTCCACTTTTCATTGCATCCAATACTTTGGTTTCGAGGTAATTTTTCGCCACGATTCATGGACGTCATGTATCGAGTAAACTTTTATAGAGCATGCGCCATACGTAAACGCCCCTAAAATGTCGTTCATTCATTTTTGTACACCAACAAATGAATTTCAAAAGTCCTCACTTCAATACACTTTTGGACTATCGGTCGGTCGGAATTGGCAGTGTGTATATGTACGTCTGTGTATGTGTGTGTACAACCATTTAAGCAGTAGAGCGAGACAGAGCAAAGAAGTATTTTTTTTGGCATTGTCTTCAGTGATAAAAGCGGCTGTAAGTTAAAGATACTCTGTTATTTGACAGAAAAATAATTCAGTCGGCCACATTTTGAAAGAATATTCAGGCATTTAATGTGATTAAATATAGTTCCAACTTTTGGAATTCACTGTGCTTTAGATAAGAATAAACCAATAATTTGAAAGACATTACTTCCAGTGAAATGTGTGAGTAATTGAATAGAAACGTTTCTAAAAAAAGAGAATATTTTCAACGAATGCATTCATATCTCACGTACGAATTCTAAATCGATTTGATGTGCTTTAAATGCACGCAGAAGTAATATTTTCATTACTTTCGTCCACGAATGTAATTTCGAAAATCGATACAAACCAGGAAAAAAGCAAGTGTTCTATGGTTTCGGTTATTCGAGAAGAATTTCAAAAATTCATTCCGCCTACATTAATCATTAGGCAAGAATTACTCTCATTTACTTTTATGAAGAAAAAAAAACAAGTTTTACAAAACTGTGGTAATCAATTCGTTAACTATCTAAATACATGAACATTTTCGGTAAAATAGTCATTTTATTCCAGATGGCCGGATAAAATTTATGTTACTGCCGCGACGGAATATACCTACCATATGGTAATCCATATTTCGTCGAATAATTCTGACATTTCATGAACGAAAACCCTTTCGACGAGACTTCGAAACTTCAACAAAAAGCTCAACTGGAATGAAGGGAGAAAAGATATTTACATTGACTAAAAAGAATAGCCGATTTTTCACCGCATTTGATCGACTATTTGTTAAGCTTATGAATTTTCCGGTCTTTAAGCTTACAATATGTGTACATCGGCCACATACAATTTAATTTTCCTTACTCTCACACTTTGATAGAATTTTCTTTCTTGTGCACTTGGAAAATATCGAAAGTTTCTCTAAAGATTGCCGTTCTAAAAAAGCTTTTAGAAAATTATTTTCGATGCTAGAAAGTGGTGTGTTACATGTTAATTACTTATTCACCGTAGGAGGAAAATTCATGTTCACAAATGGAAATTAAACAGAAAAATTTAAACAACGAAAGACATTTTTTCTGTTACATTCGCTCCGAACAGTATATTCAGCAAAGCGATTACGGTTGTACTTTTACCGTTAGTCGTATTTCGGCAGAATATGTAGGCGTATCAATTTGTTGTTGTTGGCATTCTCTGTACTTAAGATGAAATATTGATTTTAGCGAAACCTAAAGTCGCCTCGCCGCACGTTGTAGCGAAGCAATAAGCATTGCACATACTACAATGCAACCAGCAAGGAAATAGACTTTTCGAGAGAAAAAATTTGGACGAATAAAAATGAAAATGTATGAATATTGGTTTACGAGCAAAACGTTATATATCTTTTGCTCCGAAATATTTTGAGTAAAGATCAAATTTTATTCTAAATGTATAATAGTAAGTTACTGTTATTGGGAACCTGAAAATAACATCGTACATTTATGTTTGGCAATGCTTTCAGTATGGTCCACGTGTTCCAACAGCTGCATCTCCTAGTAATACGAATTCTAGTAGCTCCTCGAATACTGGCTCCCAAAGTGGAACAATAAGCACTAGTCTCAGCAACACAAACACAAACACGACAATGGGTCCGAACGGAACGCCTCAAGTACAAGAGACTTTATCGAAAACAAATTTATACATTAGAGGTCTTCAACAATGCACAACAGACAAGGATTTAATTAACATGTGTCAACAGTAAGTGAAACCAATTTATTGTCGTGTTTTTTGCTCAATATTTCAATCGCACGTTTGATCAAGAATGTGTTTATTTCAAATTACAGATATGGAAACATAACTTCAACAAAGGCAATTCTAGATAAACAAACGAATAAATGTAGAGGTATTTTTTTAACTCTAATTCTCTTTGGAAATTTCTAATACCGTTGTAATTCAATAATTTGAAGTATTTAATTTCAAATATTTCTCCACTCTTACCTAAATCTAAGCCCATATCAAAGAAATTCAAAAACAAAATTTCGACAAACACATGACACACAAGACAATTGCACAGTTTTGCTAACATGACAGATTTTTTTTGTTAGCAACTAGTCTGACACGATAATACAAAATATATCCATTGCGGAAAATTCTTGGTGTAAACATCTTCGATAGAATCTCAAAATTTATTCAAAAAGAGAAATTACAGTGAGGCAAAATGGGACATCGACAGAAAATTCAATGTAGAAGTTTCCGGATAAAGCTGACATGTTTCCTGTTTCTCTTTTTGAAGAAATTCTGAGAAGTGAAATGTTCTTCGCAAGAAGATTGATTCACGTGAGAAAAAAATGGTAAAACGTTTCAAGGTATTTATTATAAAATGGATTTTCAGGATACGGATTTGTTGATTTTGAATCACCTGCATGTGCCGAAGGAGCTGTTAAAGGTCTTCAATCGAAAGGAATCCAAGCTCAGATGGCCAAAGTGGGTATCTGGATGCTACATAGGCCGGCCATTGTACGTTTGTTTTGCATGCAAGTAATATTTAACCCTTCCTCTTCTGAACGAAGTTCAATCGAAATTACCATCATCATAACTACCAAAAATATACCCTACCCATATGCACACCCTATTATTTGATTGCGATTTTCCTAACAAATAACTCAATCTGTTTCAAATTCAAATATAAAAAATCCGAATTGCAAAATTCGCTTCTTCTCTAATTAAACAAAACGCAATACTTACACATACTCGAAATAAATTAAGAAATGAACAAAACCAATTCATATTTATGTAGTTGAGAGTGAGTATTGGTAACATGAAAGGTAACAGAAAAAATCAGAATCGTTAGAGTAAAACATGTGTTTCCGAATAGCTTTGATGTAAGGTGGTTGGAAAATTTCAATCATCACCTTCTAAATGTAAATCCATGTTACATTAATGCTGCTTCCATATCCATGTTCCACTTTTATGTATTTTATTTTCTATGTTACGCATAATACCTTGTAATACATGTTTCTAAATCGGTTTGTACGACCATAATATGAGAAATAACAAATGACGCGCTCTCAATCTTCAAAAAAGATTTAAATGCAAATTTCAATACGTAAAAGAAATAAAATTTCAATAGGACTTCTAGTCAGCCAACACTATGTTGACCATCGAAAAGTAAAGATGAGCGGCGAACGCGAAGTCCACTTCCATTTTATTGTCATAATCCAAACTTACTCGGAGCACCCAAAATTGCTTTCTGCCAAAGTTGTGGCACAAAAATATCTCGTATTTTGATTTGAAAATCGATCCACCCCACTCGGTACAACATTTCATTGACAATTACTGACTGTAATTTAACTGCAAATTTATTGTGATATATTGTCTTTCATTATCTCAGATTCGTACACTTTTGTGCTAGTTTTTGGCAAATGCAAGTTATCCATTTCCTTTGCGACTTATCCTCCTTAATCCCACATCATGTTAATACTATTAGAACTATATTCTACGGATATTAAAACATATACTAATTATATTTGTTTTTTTGAGACAAATACCACATTAGCAGTCAGATTGAAATTTTAATTATTTTTTTCTCATTAGAAGTAAACGATAGCCCCAATAGTTGAATAACTAGAGTTGAAATGATCATTGATATAAAAGAAGAAATTTGTATTGTTCCAACCAAGTGAGATGCCAACTCCACTGTTTATAATTTTGTTTTTTTTTATGTTTAGTGTTAACAACTGTAACCAATAAGCGTGTTGTTACAATTGAAGGAACTCAAATGCGCACATTTTATTGTGACATTTTTCATAGAATAAACATTCTAGTTAAATACACCTTTACACTGTAAAAGAGAAAGGATTTTATATTGATACTTAGTGATTTTGCAGCAAAAAAATCCTAAATGATTACATTCAAATCACACAGAACTTACAAGCACTACACTTTATCGGTTGTCGACGGAACACCTATGGCACGCGAGAATTTCTCACTTGATCTTGCTGAGAACATTATGTTTGGTTGTTGTTGATATCGCTGAGATTTTGCGTCTTCACGTACATCGGAACCATAGCCTTCGACTGGAGATCTTCCAGGCAAGAACACATGTTCGACGAAAACAAATGATTTTCTGCCATTGATCAATTCTGTCAATTTGTCAAGTGCTCTTCTGGTACAATGCACCGTAACAAATCCTGGATAGCGATTATATACATTTATGCTTCGAATTTTGCTTTTAAATAGCGAAGAATGTGGTACATATGATATTGACGATAAACGATAATATTTGAAATTTTTCAATCAAATGATTTCTTCATTGCCATCACGGTACATCGTTAGAACTGCCAGTTGAACTGAACTCGAATGTTCAAACATTCTAAGGAATTCGTGTTCATGTTCGTTCAAGTTCAAAAAAAAACTCGAACGAACATGAACAGTTCGCTTCAACTGGCAGCTCTATGCATCGTACACCACCCAAACGTAGGCCAGGATCAACTTCTAACATTTGCTGATCACTGAAATCTCATGAAAAAATCCTTCAAAAGCCTTTTTCGTCCACCTCAACAAATTGCATCTCGTTACTGCCAATTGTTCTCGCAAATACATCCATTACCAAGCGTATGTAAACGGTTGAATTTGGGCCCGCATTTGGGTGTAGTTTCAGTCATTTTTAACGTCACAATGGAAGTAGAAAAAGAACAGTAAAAACAAATCAATTAGGATGATATAAAAACGATTATGAATCAATATTCAATATGCTAATAAATAGTGATACTCACCTACAGGAATTATCCTGTACTCTACCTACATCTATATAGACTATAGAATATAGATAGCCATCGATATCTGGTATCGATGATGTCTGGGAGACTAAGACCTCAACCAACTACAAATAACATACTGTTACATAAATTCTCTTGAAAAATAAATCATAAATTGCGGCTCCATTGATATTAATGAATGTTGAAGTTGACTCGGAATCGAGTTGGATACACGAGGTGTTGACGTGTGAACGCATCATGCAGCCGATGTCCAAAGAGTTCGCAATGCCCTGAAACAAAGAGAAAAAAAACACACACATTACTATTGCATCAATTTCAATTCGATGAATAACATACCTCTGTACAAGATCAATTTTGCAGCCGAAATGTCACGTTGCCAAACTGTCTTCAGTACTGGAGAGTCGTCAACAGGGTCTTCGGGCACATATTCATCTGTGTACTCGATGATATCGAGTTCAGCGTCGTGAATGATTACACCTCTGCGCTCTTCAACATTGTCATCCATACCGTTGGCCGCGTTTTGTTGCCAGTTTTTACGGTAGCAAATCACCTTAGACACAAAACCACGGGGTTGATTTGGATTCTGCACTGCTGTTTTCCGCATCGCTCGTCGCTCTGATCGTAACTTCCGCTTGCTCTTTGCCGCTACAATTTTCTCTGGTAGCTTCATTCCATCAGGCCAATCATCTTGATCGGGTATGCACCATTCACACACCTTGACACGATCGTTCAATGTACTTAATGGAAACGGTTCGAAACATCTGGCACACAATCGTGATGATCTGGCTTCGTTCACAAATCGTATGACATTGCCTTCCATTTTCTTGAAACTCTTCACCAATTTCCGCACGCCCGGGCATCGAACGTGTTTCTTGATCTGTATTGGTGAATTTGCAGGTGGTTGGGAAGCTCCAATGTTAATGATGCATCGTTTGCGATTTGTCTGTTGAGCAACAACAAAAACATTCAATTTTTTCAAAAGAAACAAAAATTCAATCGTAAATTCTTACCAGCATTGCGGCCACCTTGTCACTGACCCGATTGGACTCGATGTAATGATCAAAACTTAAACGTGTGTACTTTTCGGTTGTGTACACTGCAATGGCTTTCTTCATGATGGTGAATCGATGCCGTATGTAGTCACGCCAATTGCTTCCTTTTGGTGGTGGCATTCGGTCATATCGCGCTCGGTTGTTTCGATCACTCTCTTCGAACTGCCCAAAGGCACGAGTCCATCGCTCTCTCTTTTCTTTACGCACTCCTTCTCCGGTCCCATAATGATACTTCTTGCTGTTGATTGTGAAGTTCATCTGTGAGATGGAAACAAAAATCGAACAATAAAAATTAAACAATGAAATGGATTCACATGACACAATCACAATAGAATGCATTCAATCGCTAACATACCTCTTTGCCATTATGAATTCGCTCTTTGTCATTATTAATCCGTCGCCTAACGGTTGCATTCCACGTCTTCATGCCCCAATCAATGCCCAATTCATAGACATAGAAACCATCAGAGTACCGTTTACGCACCAAACCATCTTCCACTAACTTGTCGACTACGGTTTTCTTCACTGTGTACAGAATCGATGCCGATACACCATCGCTGAGAATATGTTCGAATTTTTTGTTTGCTTTCAACACTCGATTGATTTTCTCCATGTTAAAAATCATATTGAAATAATACGCTTGATTTGATTTTGACGTGACGTGGCCCACTGTATGTTGCCGACCATATTCATCACGCGGAATGGTACCGGTTTCGCACATCATACGATACAAAACATCAGCGTCTATTCTCACTGCCTTTCGCGTGTGATGACAGATTGGGATGACCACCAAATTCTTGATGTTTGGCAACGCAATGACTTGCACGATGTTGTCGTGGTGCTGTTCAACCCAGTTGAGGTGCGTTTCGATTTCTGATTGCATGATCAACCACATTGGCAATGATGCAAACCATGTATCTTCGTCTTTGGTGAATTTGGCGATATCATCGTCAGTCGGTCCGCGAATGTCTCGAACATAAAGCAGTAATCGATCTCGTTTGGCCAAGCGATCCGCATCACCTCTTGTTGCGTCATATCGTTTCATTGCCCATGATACTGCATTTGCCACATCTCGTTCATCGTATGTATTCGGTAGGCCATTCGTTCGGTTAGTGTAGTTCTGTCTGAATGCCTTCAATCTCAAGAAATATCGCAATCGTTTCTGTGCATGTGTATCCAAATTCGTCTTCACATTACGGCCATATTTTTGGATTAAATATTTCATCAAGTTGCCGAAGTAATCATTGTTTGGCCATGCGGAGCGATTCTCTGTGTCCACATTCTCAAAGCAATGCCGGAACCATGGATCCATAATGAAATCGTCTTCCTTGTAGCGCCGCAACACAGCATAGAAGCAATTTTCGATGATGTACATTCCATCGCCATCGTCGAAATATTCCCAATTGCCGGTGATGATGGCCTCTTCAGTGGCAACTCTGACTTTGTTGAGGAATAAAAGCGACGCCAATTCAGATATTTCGGTGCATTTTATGCTGGTTTTTGTGATCCATGGCAGAACACGATCACGATATTCCGGTCGAACAATACTAGCGGCGGCCAACTTGATTGCAAAGTATGCTTTCTCCTCCTTTTGCTTGCCATCTTCAACTTTCCGCGGTTTCGGCCTATTGCCACGAATGGCATGTGCCCCTATTCTTTTTCTGCCCATTATTGAACCCTGAAAAAATAGAATGAAAACACAAAAATTACTTTAGATCGCACTAGAAATGATTTTTTGTTGCTTCTAAATTACTTATTTTAACGAAAAACGAAAAAAACAACAATCACTGTAATTCGAACAGTATGCACAACAAATGACTTGCCTTTTCAAATGCTCAGATCAATATGAATGTGCAACCGGCAGCAGTTTGACACATCAATGCTGTTCAATATGAATTTAGTCGAACGAAGCAAAGTTTCATATTTCATGACATGATGAAATTGTGAACGGCGGTTTGTTTACAATAACAAACTTCAAAATGAACCAACACTAATAGCGGGAATATTCACTACATTAGTTTTGCCTGCCATCTCTGGACAATTTAAAACGTAATCGTTGAAAATCAGAAGAAATGAATTTGAAAATATACTCTCACCATTTAGTTCATTCTCTTTGGATCAATACATGAACAAAAACATGAATAATTTAAATCATAGAATTTTATGCTATCTTTGCTCCGTTGTATGAACACTATTAATTGATACAGAATTCTTTTCTCTTTAATTTAAAATCTAACATTTTCTCGTTCTCAATATTCATACAGTTGGTTTACACTGAAATTTCAGTAGATTTTGACGGAAAAAAAGAATCAACTACATTCGGTTACAATCAATCAATCAATTTTGTTGTAAAACAGAACTTTAACCCGAATCAGCCAAGGCAAATTATTTCGCTCCAATTCTGAAAATATTTTGGGGATATAATCTTTGAGTTGTAAGGAACAAAACTGCATTTTTAAATTTTCAATTGAGGACTTGGATCGCGAGATATTGCCTGTTGTTGTTGTTGTAATCAAGAACCCCGACTTGAAAAAAACAATGAAAATAACATTTTTTCCATAAATGCAATATATCATCGGTTTAAGCTCTTAAAATACTACACAAATAATATTTTGGCCATTCCGAAAAATGCATGTCTCGTTCTCGTTGTTTTTGACAATCGAAAAAAATGTCACATTTTAAAAATCGGTAAACTTTGGGATGCTGGTATTTTCAAACCTCTGGAGTTAGACATTTGAGTAATACATCATTTGAAAGCGACATTCTTTGAGCGTCCAAAACGGGCTTACACTCAACAATATCAAGAGTGGTTCGGTTCTTATCCTCTTAAAAATGCAGCAACCTCTGTGTGTTGCCATATGGCAACGCTAGGCTGATTGGAGTTAACTAGTTGATTTACATTCATCCTGCAAGAGCATGAGCAACGAAACGTATTTGAACCATTTCGAGTAGCCCCCGTTTCATCTTTCGGAGGTAGAAGAAGTAGCATTTTCATCGCCAAATCCGCTGTAACATAAAAATCTAATGAATCTCGATAGTGTTCGCATTTAGGAGATGGTCGAGTCCATGTCCGGTGCATAAGTAAATCGCAATTTACACTTTGAAAATCAGAAACTGCATATAATAATTTTAAAGACCATCCATGATTTCAATAACCATAAATAGATAAACAATTTCAACCCAAGCGGCACTCTGTGAAAAGCAAATAAACTATTTGTCGGGTGTTCAAATCCCGAAGCCCCCCGAGACCGACAATGGTCAAACAATGAAATGAAAGCATTTATTTTTCACATTGCGTATGTTAATGGATTTTGGAATTTGATTCCCTTTGGATTTTTCTGCTAAAAAATTCTAAAATCATCACTATGAAATCCTTTCCGTTTAACACCTTTAGCAAATAGAACATCATTTTTGTAGGGAAGTTAGTTGATGTGATAGTTTCAACAAAAATATTTATAAAGAAATATATATATGAGTGCGATTGAGAGTAGTGTATGTTTCACTGACTTTGTTATGAAAGAGAAGAGTAAGTTTCTTTCGACTTAAAAATGGTTAAAGGCGAGTATGTTCATTTTTGGCGAGTCGTCACGGTTTTTCGCGGTTTTCGCGGAACTGATAAGAGAAAACTGTCTTCAGCATAGTTATAGAAGACTTCGAGTACTACAATTTTGCCGAAGGAACCAAGTTGTTATCTCTTATCAGTTAATACCGTAAAACCGCGACAACCTAAGGCATGTAAACATAGTCTACTTCAACGCCAACAGAATCATCAGAAAACATACTCGCCTTTTCGAAAATATCAATCGAAGAAAAAACATACTCTACTCTCAATCTCACCCATAGATATATGTATATGCACAGACAGTCAAAAAGTTTGGAACCACCTGTAAAATACATTGTTTTTTGTAGAATTCGGCTGGCTTGGAATTTTAAAATTTTGGCTGAAAAATGGCCAACGGCAGACCGAATCCTGTCTTTAGTTCGTCACGTAATCAAACAAACAACCATTTTACAGCTGGGTATATTCGATTTGATGAATGGAAGCGTATATATATTTCCAATCTGGAAATTCCAGACAACATTTATTTCATCATTTTGTTTATTCCGATCAGTCATCCTATATCTTCTTTGAGTTCAGTTTTTGTTTGATTTATCTATCTTCTTTCTATATCTGAACATAGTTGAATTTAAAAAAAAATACAGTAACTCATATTTATCCACTCAATATATCAACCAAGTGATATCTTTTCGAATTATGTTATTTCAATATTTGCGAATAGAACTAGTGCTATTTTGAACAGTACAGTTTAAGTTTTGACGACAGCCATTGCAATTATAGTTACAAATACATATACATTAAAGCTCTCCACGACTGTAAAGTGTAACATATAGAATAGAAATGATTAAATAACCGCTAATATTTTAGGTGGAGTTTATTTTTTCTAAGGTTTTCGGTTGAAAATTTTATTTTCCCCTTAAGAAATTCAATTATTTCGATTTGTTTCTGGTGGGCCAGAACCTACCGAGCTGTTTCTGTCTACAATTGAACCCATTTAAGAAACTTTCAGATATTTACAATGTGTTGAATTGAAGAATTATTATATTAGTTTGTTCGAAATTTTGAACATTTTTTAATGAGAATGTGTGTCTGAAGCTCGAAATAGAATCTACGATTTGATACCATTCTCCCTTAAAATTATTCTAAATCTTCGAATGATTTGATCATTTTAAATTCATTCCTTGAGTCTCATTCAACTGCGCACTTCCATGAGTTCGGAACAAAATCAGAGAAAACTATGAAATGGAATGAAACAGTGTTCAATACCTACTTTGTTTCTCTATTCAGCGCATTTTCTAATTCACACTATTTTTACGAACGGTCTAAGAAAAAATTCTCTGATCTTCCGATTTTATGTGGTTTAATTTTATTAGAAATATAAAGACGTCAATATGGTGCCTCCAGACTGACGATATCCTCGTTCTGTCCAATTGAAATATTGAATTATTCCTTTTTAACGCTGAAGCTTCCACATAAAAGCAGTAGATGTTATAAATCCATTTTCATGACGAAAGAAGTTGACCTTCAAAATTGTATTATGAGAGAATATGAAAAGTGCATGGGAACTTTGAAAAATAATCATCGACAATACATGTACGTGATTGCCCAATGCCTATCATAAGCATTTTCTGTACCAAACTCTAAACCACTAAACCTAAATAATAATGACAATAATCGAATAATTGAATTTTTTTGTTGTAATTAATACAATTCTGGTTCCGTTCTGGCGATATATTCATTTATGTTCATTGAATTTTATTTTGTTAATATTGTAAAAATTAACACATGTGTAATCTTGTTAATAAGAGGAAAACAAACAAAATAGAAAAATGAGCCGGCCATTTTAGATAATTTATTTTTTAAATACTAAAACACTATTTATATCTTGAGTTCACATTAAATTTTTCGTCAGTTTTATTATGTGCGTTCAAGACTTTATTTATCCATAATATTGAGAAGAAAAAAAAGTGAAAAAATGTCGGCCGAAATGTTATTGCCCTACTCTGGCTGATCAACTGATACTATTTTCGAATTAATAATGACTTTTAAACTTTTTTTTGTATTAATTTCAATAGAAAATCAGCCAAACAAAGGTTTTATGACAAAATAAGATCAATTTCAACAAATGATTTCTGTATTTTTCAGAATTGAGACTGGATGATATGGAATTCGTTCAAAAAAATCTTTAGATTCATTTCCAGGACAATCTATCTAAATGAAAGCAAAATATAGCACGTCACAAAGTGATGCAGGGATGTTTTTTAAAACCGTTTCGTATTTTACAGTATAAAAAAAATACTTAGCATTCATTTAAACAGGAAAACAAGTATAATGAGCACTTTAATGTTCTTATCGAATTACATATTTTTACACATACCACTTCTCTGGGTAAATACAAAACATATTTGAAAACGTATAAAAACAATAGATGAAGTCCATTTTAATGTTTAATTCTTCTTTCGCGTTTGAATACATTAATTCATAATCATCAGCATCATTTTAACCAAATTGATTCCTTCGAAGGTGACATTCGTAACGATTATGACATTGACTAACAGTTAATCTTAAACACTCATGATAAACATAATATGAGGATTTGGATAAAACCAAAAAGTCAGCTATTAGAGCTATCTCAAATCAGATTAGTAAGACGAAGCAAGATAACATGCGCACAAAAAAACCAAAATCACACATGAACATTTTTGTCTTCTTTTTTTTAAATTTAAAACACAAACGATTTTACGAAAAAAAGAAAAACAAACTAATTGAATTTATTTTTCTTTTGTTTTCCTTTGTTTTCCCCTGAAAACCAAATACTTCTCTTTCGACAGCAACAAGAACAGGACCCAACCAATTTATATATAGCGAATTTGCCTCCGTCGTTTAAGGAAACCGATTTAGAAAATCTTCTTTCCAAGTATGGACAAGTTATTTCAACTAGAATTTTGCGTGATCAGCAAGGACAGTCAAAAGGTGATTTTTGTTATTATTTTGACCACTGTGATACGAATCTTAACCGCGATTATTTTTTTGTAATTTTTATTATTTCAAATTTGATTTAATATCTTAATTTTCATGATTTTTGGTTGATTAAAAGTAATAAAAGTAGAACATTTTTTACAACATGTATGCAAAGTGTTGATGGCGCGGTTAACGTTCGCAATCATTGTATTTAAAATTTCCAAATGAAAACCGATCTTACAATGTTTCAGATATAAATAAAGGCGTCGGATTCGCCCGTATGGAATCGCGTGAGAAATGCGAACAAATCATACAAATATTCAATGGCACTCAGTTGCCAGGTGCTAAGGATCCATTGCTTGTCAAATTTGCCGATGGGGGATCAAAGAAAAAGAATGCGTTTAAAAACCAAAATGATCCCAATACACGGACTTGGCGCGAGGTGACTGAGGTAAGAAATGGCCATTTCTGTCAAATACTTTATGATCAACAAGAGTTTTCAGTGATACTCCAAGAGTATGTATGTGCTATTACAATTGCCAAGTTTCTGTCAATTAATACAATGATCACATATGTTCACACTGTTTGATCTCTGCCCATTCTATGTAGAATACGAATTTGTTTGATACTCTTCGTATTTCATTCCATTTGGTCAGTTGCAAAAATTAGGGATAAATTCAAAGAGAAAATATAGAAAATTTAAGATAACGTGTCTTCCGCACGGAATGTCTATGGAAAGTAATGTACTCAACTAAAATTCTTTTCAGACAATGCAGGGTATTCCAGTTGCATATGATACAGCTCTTCCACAAAATGGTGTTAATATGAATGTCGGTACACCACTTAGTGTTCCGTACACACGGTTTGGCGCACAACCAGTTGGCAGTTATGCTATGCCCGGTTCACAATGGGTGTCAGGCTATATGATGGCTCAACCGATGGCACAAGTAGATGATCAAGTAAGAATATCAACAATTCTAACGAGTCCCAACTAAATCGTTGTGTATAGATAAAATTCACTGAGAATGATTTTTGATTTTTGTCATATTTTAGTATATGCAAATGGCGCAACATCTAAGTGTGAGTCCAGCATTTAAGCCCGAATCTGTATCACAGGTACAGCCCCGTGGGGTTTCGATGATTATGAGTAGTGAAGCTGGTGCTGTACCGTATGGACACATGGTGCCTCAATTAGCGACACTTCAGATTAATTCACCCGTAAGTCGAGAAAGAAAAATATTCGCAAAAGGAAGTTAGCTGAATGCTGACCAATTTACTTACCAATTATTTCTGTTTTTTTTTTTGTTCACAGTATATCAGTCCACCGTATCCATACTATCCCCCGGCTATAATACCAACAATGCCAATGACTGATACTGAACAAGCTAGTAACACTGCTTCACCTGATGAGGCATATACCCAATACCAACATCTTGGTGCTACCAAATAAAGCAGATAACTTCAGGTATATGCGTCATTTCCATCTTATCTTTAACATTATATCTATATATTCTTTTGTGCAGCACTCATCATATACTTGATACATTTATTTAACATTATTCCATGATAAATAAGTATATATGACTTTGAATAATTTTCTGAAATTTCAGTATATTTAATCTCTGTAGACGTGGACATCATACATACCTCATCAAAATCGATGCGATTTTTTAAACAGACAAAACTGAAATGCATTCATCTCTTTTTGAAACCAATTCGACTGAAAACTTTTTTCATGAGACGCTAGAAGAACCATGTAATCTATGTTTTAGACATACATTACATTTGAATAGATATTTAAAAAAAAGATGAAAATAAAATGGCTGATGTGAAATTTTTAGTGAACGCAAACGTTCACTCACAAAACAAGATCGAGAGAATGATAAATTCCAATTAGTGGAAATGAGCTAGTTTCGAGGAAAGATTAGAAAAAAAAACATTGTATTTTGCATAAAAATAAAACGACAAAAAATGGAAAAAAGATGTGTGAAGAAACTTGACAACCGAGACGCAGATTAGATGAGTATGAGAAGCAGAGAAGAAAATAAATCGCTGATACTGGAAAATAAATTGATTTCAATTTGATTTTGGCCAAGTTAGCCACAAACGGCTGTATAGTTACAGAAAAATGAATAGATCAGACATTTTTATCGATGCAGTTCTCCAGATCAATAAACGAATGGGTGCATGTTTTGATTTAGAATAATCACTTCATTCGCAGTCGGTCGCATATATATACACTCACACACTCACACACAAACACACACATTAATTATACTAGATTAGATCGAACGAAGGAGGTGCAAACGTCAAACGACAAACAACATTGGGGAAGCTCTATGTTCGCTCTCATAGAGAGATTTAATAAGATGATCATAAGCTCTCCATTTCTACCAATTTGGCGAGTATTTTGTCGATTTAATTTTTGAATTGGCTAAGGATCCCTGTACAGTTGAATTCTAGAAAGCAAAGAACAAGACTAAAGGTTGTTCTTCAGTCCTTTCCTGTTGACGTACGAATCGATAAATAGAGTTAATTATATTCAAATAATGCAAACTCGGGATGTTGGAAATGAAACACAAGCTCACAAACATTATTGAGTCATTAAATGGTGCAATGTTGCCATCGGCTGATGAGCGTCATGATGTTTGGAGGGAAAATATGGAATAAAAGATTGATATCTCGTTTAAAAAAAAAAAGAAAATGAAATAAAACTTAGAATTAATATTAGTTTTAGGTTATGATAATTTAATCTAGATTTTAGCTATCTAAAAAATACATTTTCTCTGTCTTTCTTGCTCTTCAACATTTCGAAATTCTTAGGACCTCCCTTTTCCATTTTCAAACTTAATTTGAGAAATTATCAGACCAATTTTTTTTATTATGTCACAAAATATCGGAACGGTAAAGTACTATATTTTCTTGATTGTAGGAATGCATTCGTCACAAATAACGTTCATTGGTTCTAATTTCAAACTTCGGCTCACAATTCGTTGACATCCAATTTCTGTTCTCCATCATTTTAAACATATAGCTGTGGTGTTCCACAAAATACAATAGAATTCAAAGAAACAAATGACAAAGTACGAACACTAACTAAGAGCGAGAAAAGCGATTCCTTATTTAGTATGTAATTTAATGTATTTTATTCTTCTTTATTTTTTGTGGACTCTTCAAATGACAAGTTTTGTTGTAGGATTTTTTTCTTTTTTCTTATGAAAAAGAAATGAAAGATGTGATGTAAAAGATGAAAAATAAGAGATGAGACGTGCTGAGAATCAGACAACAAATTCTATATATTTTATTTATTTCGATTAGCCTAAATCTAGTCGACACTCATGCAATAGGCAAAACCCAACGGAAAAAATTGATGCACATGTATTTTCGTTTTCATTATTACACCTTATTTCAGTCATAATTGCGTCAAAAGCCATATTTGATTGTTGACGACACTGAAATTTATGTCAAATTTATCTTGCTAAATCAGTTCGTGTGTGGCCGTTCTTATTGAGGTCTGCATAAGTCTTATTTTCATTTTCTCTGGTTAATTTTTTGCCATTTCAAGACACCAAATTTGTAATTAATTATTATTTTTTGGCATAAAATTAAAAAAAAAACTTTGTTCTTCAGAATGAAGTTATACATACAGTCAACTAATCGAAAGATTTTTTACACTTTGCACAAAAGCACGCACGACATCGATTAAGCTCGTGCGTCACATGCGAAATGGAACAGAAGACAGAAAATAGGAATACCTAGCTTGTAATGCTCTTATCGATACTATTTGCTTTGCATGCAGACCTTATACATATAGGTCACTGTAATGTAACTAAAACACAGTTTAAAATAATCAAGAAACATGAACGGAAACGAAATCATATTGAGTGCTGTGTATTTTTTTTAAATGAAAACACTTGGGAAAATCATTTGAAAAATACAATTATTAAATAATTATCACAACTGACAATGTCAGATTTTCTTGCGAATTTTTTCATTTTATTTTTCAGAATGTGTGTTCTCCATTTCATGTGCTTTACTGATTACGATCGTTTTCAAATATTACCCAGACTCAAAAATTCGCAGATTCGCTGTCGATTTGTTTAAATAACTTCTATGACTTCAGTTCCCTTGATTGATCTTGTAAAATATGATCAAAAAACTTATTTCACGGTGCTATAATCGTAATAAAATTGTCAAAGTCTCAATCGTTTGCATATAATGAACAAAATTATGGTATAAAAAGTGATACTGCCTAAATGTGCAGAACGATTGTAGCATCACTTGCACCTTTTTCAACCAAATAGCTCAAGCGAAATTTAGTCGAAACATATATAGTATTTTGTCTATCTTGAAAAAACCAATCGACAACGGATTCGAATCAAGATTCAAATGCTCTCATAAAACATTGAAATCACTTCAATCCCATTTCGGAAAATTCCAAGAAACTTTGGTGAAATTATTTTCATTCAAACCTGTAAATCATTCGCAGAGATGACATGTTGATAACAATGATTTATTTTTGCTTTTCAAAAGTTCGGAATTCTGACATTTTCCAAAACTTCAAAAATCAGTATGCGATGAAACCAAATAACAAGCTAAGTTTGGCTTTTCCAAATCATTATATCCTAAATATTTCATGTAAATTGATCGCAATCAAACTTTTCATTTGATTCCATCTGACCCTGAACCCTGGATTCTGTTTTGTATAAAAAAAATCGAATCAAATTGCACACAAGTAATAAAACCGGCAAACAAATGTCATAGCGGGATAAATACGTCAATTTTATATAAATTCCACATAAGTTTTCGCGTCGCTGCTAAAAATGTATCAATAGCCACATTTTAACACTAACATATAAATGGAATATGTGGTTCGAGTTCAATGTTATGAAATAATGTCAGAGTTGGTGAATATGCAGTAGTGACGTGCAAATTGATATGAAATTAATATATTGCTTCTGCCGTGATACTCTGTTTGCCGATTGTACTATTTGTATGTAAATTTAATGAAAATAAACTGAATTAAGCAAAATAGTAACTAAGGAAAAGAATAGACTCATAAGGAAAATTGCTTTCGGCGTGCTTAATTCAACGCAGTCAAAATAATTTAAGAAAAAATAAATAAATTTGAAGTAAGAAAAACAACACTGTAAAATGTAAGTTCTCAGTTCTAGTTTAGTATTAATTTTAGGTAACTACACTGTGTTGTTAAATTGGGTGATTGACTAGAAAAATTCGAAAACTCATACTCGAAACGTTGCCTGGTGAAATAAGGAAGATCAATGAAAGCTGAGCTTGATATTGATTCTGCGACGATGTCACTTTTTGTCAAATCAATCGGTTTTTGAGGACACATATCGTTTTGCATTTTGATGGAAAACAATATTGATGCAACAATTTCTTACACGCATGAGGCAGATGGAATTTTTCAAACAATTTTGATTCGGTGGCCACACTTTTGAAAAAAGGCAATTACCGAAAGACAAATCAAAGAAAATGGATGATAAAATTTAGATTGATCAACGAAAATTCCAATAGCGAACAATAACTGATGCACTTTTTCGAACATCATACTCAAAAGTCTGTTGTTATGTGAAAAAACGTGGAAAAAATTAGCTTAGAAATTAAATTAAATAAAATGATTAAGTAAAAGTCAAAACCAACATGTGTTTTTCTTTTCGAAAATGATATATTTTCAAATAGATATTTGAAAGAAGAATAAAACCAAATTTAAGAAAAATTTACTAAAATGTATTGGGTATATGCATTAATTTACAGATACCATTTCGAAAAAATAATGGTACTTTTGACCCTATAAACGGTTCGATCCATTTTTCGAGTTGTTGAAAAGAAGGGAACCGTTAAGGGTAATTGACAAGTTTAATAGATGCCATAGATGCACCCATGCGATTTATAGCTAATGTCGAGATAAAGATTTTTTGGTCTGGGGTTGCACACTGCGCAGTCCAAATTTGTAATGGTAATTTTTAACTGGTTTCCTTGTGATTTTGGTATATTATTTTTTCATTTTTCTCTACTTATATTGAACTTCTAACACTTTAGTCGGATTCATCGTGAACTTATGGCTTAGGTAGATTTCACTTAACGTAAACCCATTTTTTTCGATTTTTTTTTTTACTTTTTCTGAAAAATGTACACTGGGTCAACGTCTTCTCATACAAAAATAATTGCAATTAGTTTTCGACTGTTCATTAAATCTAAATAACAAAAAAGTCATTTGCTACCTTGACGCAAACACTATACCTCCTTTAATTTACGATCCTGCAGATGTTGTTATTTTTGTCGGTGATTTTAATCTGCCACATGTGGAATGGTCAATCGATAGCGACGACGACAACATTATGATTCCAACTAAATTTGTACCTGAGTACACGGCCACTTTCATCCAGAGACTCATGGGCATGGGCGTTCATCAGGTAAATGATTTACGTAATGATTCAAAGGGACGATTATTGGACTTGTTCTTCACTAATGATTTCACCAACAATTCGATTGGGCGTGTTATCAAGGCTAACGCACTGACGGATGTGGAAGATCATCATCCACCGATAATGGCTACATTTGAATGGCATGGAATCAATACGACCGATGCCAACATTACAACAAAAGCATTCAACTTCAAGCGGGCCAACTATAAAGGCATGAATATACACCTGTCAAATGTCAATTTCACCGAATTTTTCCATGGAAAGACAATCACTGAGAAAGTGAACTTGCTGCAAAAGACTTTGGACGGCGGTTGAAAATGCATTCTACATACAGCGGCTCAACGAAAGTTCTAATATAAAATACAATTCAGCCGCCAACGAAATCACCTTTCAGCCGCCGCGGCTCAACGAAAATCTCACCAAATACAATTCAGCCGCGACTGAAAATAACTTTCGGCCGCATTGATTTTTGATTGGCGGCCGAACGAAATTCGTGAAGATCACTTTGAGCCGCGCCGGCCGAAAGGTCTTTGCTGCGGCGGCCGAAATACCAAACCCCTTTAAGTTAGGGTTTTTTTCGGACAGTTAACAATCGGCATCGTAAAAAAACAGACATTTTCATGTTTGGTCATTTACTTTTTCATAAGTCAGATTCGTGTTTAATTATTCAAGAATAAAAATTGATGTAAAACTAAATTATCTACTGTAACAATACAGTAGAATTTGAAACCAAATCAAATATATTGATTTGATAAGATTCCAAATCACAAATAAATTTATTTGATTTTGATAGTTTTTGAGTATACCTCAAATCAAATTAATTGAAATTTTTAAATTGAGGATTTTCAAATCACATCAACGTACCAAAAATGTACAATTCTTGGAAAATTTGTTCAAATTTTGCATCGAAAAGTACAAATTGATACTTGAACCTTTTCTCCGAAATAACTTTTCAACTATTTTTACGAAATTTTTGGAAAAAAAGTAAATTTTATATATATTTTTTTGGATCTGATTTGATCTGACTGTTCAGTCGAATGAATCGAAAAAATCAAATTAATTGTTCATTTACATATTTGATGATTTTCAAATCAATTTATTTCAAATCCAACAACCCTGCTACTGTTATAACTAATGTGACCAGATCTCCTATTCGGTACGAGAATTCCTATAAATCTGATCACTTTCCTATATCCTATATTTTTCTACAAATTACTCATATTCTCCTATATATTTTTTTCCAATTTCAAATGAAAAAAAAATAATAATCAAAAAAACAAATGAAAAATTGTATCTTTTAAGTTAGAATTGCGAAATAATGCATTCAAAATGTCAGCGCATAAAATATCATTCAATTCAGACTGGATCAATAAATACTTTAGATAGTTAATGCAAAACCCGATGACAACTTTATGTATGTACCAAATTTGAAAACGAATGCATATGTATCATAATAATAATTAACACATTTGCTTCACACTTTCCATAACACAAGTAACCACGAACAAATTACAGTTTATGCAAATTCACTGGTATGCACGTCAATCTGAAATTTCTATATATATTTAGTGATATTCATTTGCTGTTTACGATGTATATTTTTGAATATACAAAGATATTTCAGTTTGACGTTCATACCAGTGAATTCCTAAGTTAACATTCGATGCGTATAGGTATGAAAGATGAAAAAATGATTTCTTCCCTAGCAAATTAAAACCAAATTTTGAATATATTTATTTCTGATATATATTAAAAAAACAAATACATTATGTGTTGGATTATTGGATTATTGGATAAGTGCAGGGAGTCAGAGACTCGTCGCTCAGTCTGTATTCAGTCTATTGCGAGGCGCCCGCTTTTTTCGGGTGGATTCTTTGCATACCATTCGTCGATTGTGGAGGGCCCATTGGTTTGTGATGTGCCTTGTACCTGCCAGATACTGGGCTCGGCTCGGGCTCCGCCATGTCACTAGTGGACCACATCACATTCAACATTTGGCACGCTCCGTATCTCATCCATAGAGCCAATTTTTCGATGGGGACATGCTTCTGATACTGATATACCGATGTATTCACCAATATCAGGCAACAACATTTGGCGGCGATTGCAACCAATACTGAGTATTGGAGACAACAACCTAGCGTATAGGCGCCCCATCTTTACGTGCATTATTTGTACTCATCCTCTGTATATAATGCACGGGATCCCACGGCTTAAAGTGCCTCCCGGAGCACTCCACAGACCTCCACATGGGTCGTAGTCTCTCAATTCACAATCCCATTGATGGCACCAATGACATTTTGAAGAAAAAAGATTTTCGACCACTATGCGATTCGAACCCGTGTCCCCACGCTTGCAACGCTAGCACGCTAACCAATACGCTACAGCTAGGTGTTATTAGCACACAATGAGTTTCTGTTTTATTCTGCTTTGTCGGCTTTTTTTCATCCTCCTATATTCTCCTATATTTTTGATTATAAAATCCTATATAATCAGAAAAAAATCATATTATTTTCTTTTCAAGTTGTGATTGTTATAAAACAACGGAGACTCAGTCTTAATTTTCAGAATTTAGTGAATTTATGATCAAGCGTCGATTATATTGGAAATGGAGAAAAGTATATGTATATCACATATATGTGATAGTTTTGGGCCGCATAGCCAACTCAATATAGTTCATCGATCGAGTCTTATTACTTAATCAGCTGCACAGTGTGGACTTCAAACCTTCAATTACTTCGCATTGGTTAAAAAATTCATTTAATTTCTGGCAGAAGATGGGACATTGCATCAGCTTCTCTTTTCTTCGAATAAACGATTTTTCGATGTCCGAATACATTTCACTAAAAAGATTTCGTCAGCATGCGTCAAATGTTGAAACAAAAGATGTGAACCGATGTGTAAAATTGTTTTGGTTTTGATTTCTTTTTTTCAATTGCCACCAATTGCATGATATCGTAACAAAGTTGCAATGACTTTTAATTAAATTGGCTTGCTCACTGAGTGTTGGAATTTTACTTGCTCAAGTGCCGTTATGATGAACTAATCAATCGAATGTGTAGCTTGAATTTAGATGACAAAAAAGAGAAAAAGCGTCCTCCTTAAATAACAACAACAAAAAATACAAAGAAAACGTCGAATGAATACTAAATGAATAAGACGCGGTAATGATCATAATTTCCTTTCAAAGTTACGTCAAACAGAAATTGTTCAATTTGAATTGAAGTGCAGAAGCTTGTCTGTCGACTGTCCAACAATTACAATTTAGCCGTTTTGCAATTTTATCACTGCTTATTACATTTCTGCACGCGTAAATGTATTGTAAACATCCCAAAAAAAATTTCCTCCAGAAATTAGCGCTGGAATTCTGCGACATTATTTCAAACGATCAAATTCGATTTTGGAATGTGGGATATTTGCAAACATTTATTTAAGATCACCCAAGAAATATTTGATTTTGGAATTGCCGTATATTTCCAACAACCTGGAACAGACCAGTGGGTAATTATTATTGTAGGGGTAAGTGGGGAATTGTTGACCATGGGGAATTGCTGACCACGTCAGTTTCTCTGACGTTTCAAACACTTTTGACATATCCGATGCTTGTCATCGTCTTGTTTTAACCTAAACTCAATTTCTAATTGGTAGTCAACGTGATCGGACGCATTATATGCTGTGTACGCTATCCAAGTGAATTTTTATATCGAAAAATCAATCTAATTATTTTTGTTGGTGATTGTTTTAAGAAGTTTTGTGCAGATATTTGCCAGGTAATTATTCTAATTTTTCTCGTACGGCAATGCTCTACCGACGCGCAAAATAATTTTCCATAGTCAATGCATGTACATTGCTTATGCGACGCCATTTTCTCAACATATATGTATGGGGAATTGTTGACCACTTTTTGTGGGGAATTGCTGACCACGGCATTTCTTGCATTGCACGTGTCAAAATCGCATTTTATGAACATATAGTGTTGTTTTGATGCAAAATATCGACAAATAATCCACAAAATATATTTTGATGGCATTTTAAAAAAAACTTTGTGCTATTTTTTCAACTTTTTTTGGTTTTTTGATATTTTGAAGTAACCATGCCGCCTATGACACCGATGCCGCGTTATTATGCCAATAAAGGCTCATCAATCGATTTTGACGCTCTGACGCTCAAAAAAACGCAAAACTCCGGCATCGTCAACTCCGGCATCGTCATCCCCAGCACGAAAGCGTCAACGTGGCCGCATCGAGTCCTCAAGCGAAGAGGAAGACGTTGATTTCTGCATCATATGCAAGAAGGATTTGCCAAAAAAATTGAATCGGAACAACAGCATCAATTGCAACGAGTGCGACCGACCCGTTCACCTGAAATGCGCTCGTATGACTGGCGGCTATTTCACATGCCCCAACTGTGTATCGGAATGATCAAAGTCGCCATTTTTCGATTTTTTCTTTAAGATTCAATCCAAAATGTCTTTAAAATTCATTCAATAAAGTTTTTTCATCATTACTTTGCATAATAAATCGAATTTGAAAGTGGTCAGCAATTCCCCATGATTTTTGAAATTGTCAAAATCGCATGTTTTGGAAGCAGGGTTATATCTTTTTCACAGGATTGAATTTTAACAAACCAATAAGACCAAATGAAAGCTTAAAGGACGTACTACAACTTAGCATTTTGAAATTTTGAAAAAAAATTATTTTGAGCACTCTATCTTGGCCACAAAGATCGTGGTCAACAATTCCCCACTCTCCCCTACTACTCATTCTCCACCTATATCGTAATATATAGCAAAAGATGCATACAAATAATTACGACGACCTTGTTCGCAGATGTCGTATTGCTGATATTTTCTTAACGCTATTTGAGCTGCTGCGTTGTTAAATGTTTGAATAAAAAATTGTACGCAAAAGCAGCACATTAAAATAATTTTTTCGTGGTTTTTAAGCCGTGATTACAATAACACTTGTCCTGCTTTTTCCCAATCCTATCGATTCCGGAGCAGATTACAATGACCATATAATTGAAATGCAACATCTTGACACAAATATTTTATTCCAATTTGTTCAAAATTTGCATTATACTTTAACCTTAGAACCGTGAATCGGGCACTGAGTGCCCAAGACCAACTTTAAGCACTTATATGTTTATCATTTTTCATCATAAAAGATTTACACAAAGATGTCTCGATTTGTTGAACATTTGACTACATGAATTGCGCTAACATACTCACATACGCATACTACGTCATCACATATGTGCATAAGCATGTGTGATGCGCTATACGTGAATCGGGTGCCTGAGTGCCCAAAGTGCATTTTTGTATGAAAACCAGAGTGTAATAAGAGATAAAAGATTTGTATCTTGAGCAAAGTTATAGAGCATGTCAAGTACTACAATATTTCTACAAACACTATTCCGTTATCTCTTATCGGTTCCGCGAAATATGCAAAAAACGCGGAAGACGCGTATTTTTTGTATCTAATTTTTTAATGGACTGATAAGAGATAAGAGATATCTGTCTTCAGCAAAGTTGTAGAACAGGTTGAGTTCTACAACATTCCCGAAGACTTTAACTTGTTATCTGTTAGTACTTGACATGCTCTATAACTTTGCTCAAGACACAAATCGTTTATCTCTTATTACACTCTAGTTTTCATACAAAAATGCTCTTGGGGCACTCAGGCACCGGTTTCACGAACAACGTTATAAAATAGGTTTCACGGTTTGAAGGTTAATAAGCTTAAGAAATTACATTTTGGGAATTAATTTTATATATTTTTTACGAATAGTGTTAGTTCAGTTATTGACCATTGGTATTATTGATTATTGACCATCTTTAAGCGGTTGACGGCTTGTCATGTGATTGCGTGTCAATTAAAAATGATTAAAATGAAAGCGAAACAGCGGCATAAAATATTTCAAAATGATTCAACTGCATGAACGCCAAAGTGCTAATGTCGTTTATTAAAAAACAAATGTGCAATTTCTCACTTTTCCTATGCACACTTTTCCATTTCGATGCACCGTATTTGATATTCCGGACGGAGAAGAGTGTCTTGTAGCGAATTTTCAATTGCATTTTGGGATGGTATGTCATATACTTCGCTTCGCACACTTCCCCACGATTCCTAAAACGTATACAAAAGTCTTCATCACACATTCACATCGGCTGTTAAGATAGAGAAAACAATCGGCAAAAACGATTGCCTGTTAGCGCATATGGAATAGTAAGGAAATGGTGTTGAAGTGAAAGAAAACAAACACATGATGGTATACTCTCTACACTCTCATGCGCTGTGCACCAATGTGTCGGATCTGATCCGCTGCGAGCTGTGTTGTTGGTGTTCGTCTCTTGCTCTTTTCTCTTACTATTGTGGCTTGTGTTTTGAATGCTGAGATTGAATGCTTTTCGTCATTGGTATGGAATACCAACAAAATAAAAAAAACGGTTTTCAGCGAATTTTATTACACTCGCTCGCGCTCATCATTAGCGTCGAACAATGAATTTGGAAAACCATTTAGTGTACCACAAAACCATTCATGAAAGTGGACGTGTTTTTTCACCTCTGATAGAAGACAAGTCAAACGCGAAAGAGCATCACATCAAACAGTAGTACATTGACTCGGTTAAATAACTCAAGTTAATGCTTTGTAGCGAAATATTGGTGATTTGAAAAACTAAGCAAAATTATATAGCTCAAGTGACCAATCAAATCAGTAAAATTAAAAGAAACAAATAATATCCGATCGATATTTATTGATTGTTTGACAATATTACGTCGTAATTGTAAGTGTGATACCGTTAATCTATGCAGAGAATATCTAAAAGTTCATTTTGTGCGAACAAAATACACACGTTCTTCCTTCAATTATGACACTCGTTTTGTTCTTCGCAAATCTGAACGATATATTCGACACCAATAGTATTACTTCGCCGGCATTTATCTTGGAACCGAATTATTCTCACATCAGCCAATGTATAAAAAATTGCGAATACGGTTGAAGAAAATTCGATGAAGAATAATGAAGATTTTGAAAAAAATGTTGCATCACACGTGCCATTTCAAAGAAAATGAAACATTTTTTCTCGTTATTTTGTTTCAAATTTGGACATAATTAAGTAGTGATTGATTTAAAAGCTATTTACATTTGAAAATCATCCGGTGGATTGCTGTACAATAAATTCGGGCAGATTTTTTGTCGATAGCACTGCACTTTCTTTTGATTGAACAGGATGAGTTTGAATACACCATACCCATGTAAAATAGAAAGTGGTCACATCGATTTATCTGACCAAATTCAATTTCGTCGCCATAGATCACATTAGTTGATACCATAATAAAAAAACTCTCAAAGTGAAAATTAGTACACGTGGTTTACATTTAATATCAACGAATTTTTAGCCAAATACGAGAGGTATTAAAAATGATAAATAATACAACTGCCGTTTGCGTGAATTTTCATTTCGTGCTACATTCACTTGCAAAACCCACTCACTTGTGTGACACTTCATTCATCCACCATATAGATCAGGAAATTTAAAAACACCGTAAATGAAGCTATTTTTTGTATTTCAATTTTATAAATTTTGTTTAGATATCTTTTGCGGCAATCTTCCTATAATACATATAAGCATGAGCATGTTGCATTTGTGAGGTCATAATAGTTTTATTCATCTTGTTGTCTTTCTCATTTGTTGACGTCGTCGTCTTCATTTCACTGCATTTTACATGCCCACTTTTTTGTATACGGCTTACGTTTCCTCTCATACGGCGAGCGCATTTTGTGGGTGACACACTTTTGTTGAGTTTTTTTTGTAGTTGCTTATGAATTCATTTTATTCGCTTCATTTATCGGTATTCTTCTACTTTCGATATTCTCGAATTACACATACAAAAGCGTGCTGAGAGTTGTTCCGAATCACTAAGAATGTATGAAAACAGTCAAAATGTTTCAAAATGTCGGTGAAGTATATCAACAATCGGTTAACTTTTCTTTGAGCGAATACGCAGCGGAACGACAAGACTGATAATTTGGGCAAGAGAAGACTACGAAATTTTTTTTTTCTTCTCCAAATTTTACGTGTGTCGTATAATTTTGATCAGGCTTTGTTATGCGCTAAATCCATCACGCTGAATAAATTCATGCGATAGATTTATGCGATAAATGTGATGCGCTCGCTTTGCGGTGAACGAAGTCTGTTGCTCTTCACTTGTTCACGCATGAACGTTCATGCTTTGCAGTGAACGCATCGCTAAGCGGTAGTGAAGAGCAACAGACCTCGTTCACCGCAAAGCGAGCACATCACATTTATCGCATAAATCTATCGCATGTATTTATTCAGCGTGATGGATTTAGCGCATAACAAAGCCTGATTTTGATGAACTTTTCTTCACAGTTCTAGTTTTATTCAAGTAACAAATAAACTTGCAACGGATATTGAATGAAAAAAAAATTGAATGAACTAATCGATGTGTGTAAATTGTGGGCCGCTCGGATTAGCTCAACGACAATTGAAATAGCCTTAGATTACCCCTTCTTTGTATACCAGAAAGGAGCTGCAAACAAGATGATCAAACTACTTTTAGCTGTAAGTATTGTGTTATTGTACAATTATGTTCACAACATAATTTCCGCAAAATAGTATAATCGTGGAAAATAATCAAGTCCGTCAATATTTGTATGTTTTTTTCAATAGTAGTAATGAAAGTCATGGAAATCGATTGAATTTACACCCGAAAAAACCAACAAAACTACAATAGTTGAATTCAATACAATTTAGGTCTTCATGTTGAACAGTACATCGTAATATGTTCGGTTGTTTTAAGCTTAAAATGTATCCGAACCATTCTCATAAATATGTGTTGGCTTTTGATCAGAATCTAAGTAATTACAGCTTTGGAATTTTGTTATGATTTTGGGCCAATTATTTCTGTTTCGGGTGAAATGGAAGAAGGGGGAACTTTTGGAGAAATTTCCAGCATCTTTATTTTCGTTTTTCATTTACACATCCGTCTTCAATTGCAAACCATTTATTTGAATGGCATAGGAAATTTGATCTTCTTTGACGATAAAATAGGATACAATCTTTTCCCGCAATGTAATGAGTTTAATATTCAACATTTAGCCTTTGATGTACATTTACGGTATTGACAAAATACCCTGCAATGTTATTAAAAACTTTCTGGCATCTTTCATTGACACAATTGAATGTAAATAAAAGAAAATCCCATACTTTTAATTTCGATGTGCTCAAGACTTGACTATAATTTTGGTGTTTTTGGGCACTTTTAATACGTGCAGATGAAAAATACTTCCGCTTCTGTCCATTTCAAAATTGTTTTCCATTTTTGCTTTTAAGACACCACTTGAAGTGCTTTACGCTTGTTTGAAACAACGGAATTGCACTTAATAATGGTAAATATACTCGTTTTCGTATATTCGTTTTTACATGACCTTTTCATGGGATCTTCTTCCAAGAAACCATGTACATCGAATACAAATGTATGATTTAGTTCGAAGTTCCTTGATCAACACATACTCGCACACACACAAATATTGGTCAGTATTTGTGATGGAAACTTTTCAGTGTGAAATTCATCTCATCATTTGCATTTAATATAATTCACGTGTAGAGCATACAAAAACAAAGCAAGAGTTAAATGTGAAATTGATTTTTGTTTGTATACGTATGTCAAATTCGTCAAATATCTCTTTCATATAATATCGTGCAAAAAATATCAAAACTGCTTTTGTTTAACATTTTCAACTAAAAATTAATAAATCAGACATTATTTCATCAGGTGGCAATTTCGTATATAAAAAAAAGTTTTTCGTAGATCGAAATTCTAATATATACAAATACATCACTTTATATTCACGGTCTTCAGCTTTTTAAACCCTCACTCTGATCCCTCTCCTACGTAGTAAATAAGTAATGTTTTAATAAACGGCAAAGCATATTCTCAGCGGACAAAACTGTTATTAATAGAAAAATTAAGCTTCTTACTTTGTTTGGCCTATAACCAATGAAATGAGTTGATCAAAAAAATAGAAACCGTTATATCAGATTTTGATATTCCATAATTTGCATACAGTCTACAAAAAAAGAATGCAGACGATTTTGTATAATCTATGTCACTAATTCTTAACGAAAGTCGTAAAATTCTTTTGAAATTATCGTTTCTGAAATAAAAATGGTGGATAATCGGTCATTGGGGCACGCATAAATTGAATCATGAGGTTTTGAATGAATTCATTTCCACACATGTGTGCCAATAAAGTTTGATTTCACTTTCCCATTCATTAACCAGAAGGAAGAAGGGAGAAAGAGAGATAGAGAGAGAATTGTTTCCTTTGCTAATTGATGTTCCATTTTTTCAAGACCATCTTCTAACGGATTTCGTTGGCCCCAATTCGTTTTCAAGTTGAAAATGAAAATTCAATCCAAGAAACGAATTGCATATATATACTGAATCGCATGTAAAATCCCAAATTTTATTCCTAGGGCATGGATGTTGTCACTATCTATTCCCATTCTGGAATGTCTTTCAATCATAAATCGATAGCTGGGCTTTCTAGAAATAACTTTTTGCCACGTTATAAAAAAGTCAATCCAACAATGAATACTAAAGATACTCACCTTCACCGTGTCAAGTCTAGAATATAATGTTCATTCAGCTATATGAATGAATTTTTTCCTTCACATTTGATTGACTTTTTGTTCCGACAACAAAAGAGAATTTGAAAATTGAGTTATTTTGGATAATTTCCATATTAAATGTGGCAAAATATTTACCGGGAAGAAGCATAGTTAATTCGTCAAAACTCAGATGAGCAAAAAAAGTCAAATTTCAATTTTCTCTGTACATTGACAGAATTTTTTCATCAACTTACGCAACATTACCGGTGGTAATTTACCGCTTACTATGTCGGTGATGTTAAATAAAACTGGAATTTGCCACAACTTTCATTCGTTTTTGTGTTCGATTTGTGAATGCTTGTTGATCTTAATCTCCCACAATAACTTTCAATGCATCTTAACCCTTTGATGCACAATTTTTTGTTTTTGAATCATTTTGATATATGTTTTGTGCCATGATAAATAGAGTAAGACCTCATACTTAGATTTTTGAAAAATTGCGTATTTGTCGAGAAAATCGGAAAAGAGTCAAAAGAGTCAAATCACTATAAAAACTTGAAAAAATTAAATTTCATAAAACTAATGATGCAGAAAGTTAAATTGGTGTGTTTTGGTCCTACGAGTCCTAATTTGACAATTGAAAAGAATGTACAAACCCACAAGATAAGAGGAGGAAAAATGTGGAATTCTGCTATAATTTCGCATTTTTTTTTACAGCAGTACATGAACAGAAAAAACTTTCCATTCAGCCAGCCAATTGTAGCCTGTAAAGTATCAAATGAAAGCTAGTTCAATTCCCTACATTTGTTTCCAAACAAGAATGCAAAAATACCACCGTTCGACAAATTTCAACTTTTTTTCTCGCACAAGAGAAATTCCGATGGCGTTTGTTAGAGGACCTCAAAACAACCAATTCTACATCATTAGTTTGTTCGAAACCACGTCTAGATTTTTTTTTATCGATTTCGGTAGTTCTTCTGGGAACCTGAAAAATCAGCGGAATTTTCTTACACTCAAAACATCGTTTTTGCACATTTCTTGGCTGGTATTTATTGAAAATGATTAAAACGATTGAAACTACAATAATACATTGAATTCAACCTATCTGGTGAGAGCTATGAGGCAAAATGTCGAGAAAATGGTCTATTTTTCCAGTTTTTCGACCAAAGCTCGAGCAGTATACATTTTTTTCACTTACTGTGTTCGGCAATATTGTAGCCAGAGTATAGCTGAGCAATACTCCTGAACATATTAACTCGAAAATTCAACATCCAATCCACTTTGTTGGCTCAAAATCACTTTTCGCTATAAAACGGTATTTTTGTGCATTTTCGAAGTCCTGAAACTTCTCAACTGCTTAAAATAGAGCAATACTGCCTGAAAAAACTTTTTAGTACTCCTCAAGAAATTTTCAGGCCAAGTACTAAAAAGTACTAAAAGTGTACTAAAAAGTACTAAATTGTTTTAAACACTTTGGATGCCTCCGGTCAACTCTGGGTGATGAAAAACTCTACTAACTGGTGTTAAATACTCCGTTTTGGACCGTAGTAAACATTTGTGACCGGTACTTAGTTGAAAAATTGAAATTTAAATCGAAAAGGTCATGGTCCGAAGATGTTACAATTTAATGGATTATGCTGGTCATTTTTTGATTGAAACTTCAATTTTCCGGATAAGTACTAAACACTAGTGTTTACTACGGTCAAAAAGGGAGTATTTAACACGAGTTAGTATAGTTTTTCATCACCCAGAGTTGACCGGAGCCATCAAAAAAAAAACAAAGTTTAAAACAATTTAGTACTTTTTAGTACACTTTTAGTACTTTTTAGTACTTTTTAGTACTTGGCCTGAAAATTTCTTGAGGAGTACTAAAAAGTTTCTTCAGACACTATTGCTCTATTTTAAGCAGTTGAGAAGTTTCAGGACTTCGAAAATGCACAAAATTACCGTTTTATAGCGAAAAGTGATTTTGAGCCAATAAAGTGGATTGGATGTTGATTTTTCGAGTTAATATGTTCAGGAGTATTGCTCAGCTATACTCTGGCTACAATATTGCCGAACACAGTAAGTGAAAAAAATGTATACTGTTCGAGCTTTGGTCGAAAAACTGGAAAAATAGACTATTTTCTCGACATTTTGCCTCATAGCTCTCACCAGATAGGTTGAATTCAATGTATTATTGTAGTTTCAATCGTTTTAATCATTTTCAATAAATACCAGCCAAGAAATGTGCAAAAAACGATGTTTTGAGTGTAAGAAAATTCCGCTGATTTTTCAGGTTCCCAGAAGAACTACCGAAATCGATAAAAAAAAATCTAGACGTGGTTCCGGACATTCTAATGATGCAGAAGTGTTTGTTTTGAGGTCCTCTAACAAACGCCATTGGAATTTCTCTTGTGCGAAAACATGTGTTGTACGGTGTACTCAGTGGTTTCATAGCTATAGCGTCTGGCGCAGACGTGTGCAACGTCAAAAATTCTAGAGGGGGGTAAAATTATTTTGCCAGGGGGGGTGGAATTTATAAATGGGGGTCTGCAAATTTATAAATGGGTTTCAAAAAAAATGAAGACCTAAAAAAAGGTCCTCACTTTTGAAAATCGATTCTATCTAGTGTAAAACCAGTCTCCCAAAAAAGTGAGTCACATTTGGAATCCTAGAGGGGGGTAAAACCGGAATACCCCCTCCTTGCACACGTGTGGTCTGGCGTATCTGGTTACTTTAGAAACCGATATGCGATAAAGGGTTAATAGTTTTGTACAATTGTGTTGTGCCAAAGCACACAAAATAGAACGAATAATAAAAAAGATACTTTCAATAGTTTTGCAATAAAATTTCTTATGCATACACATAAATTATTGTAAAAACCCAAATGATAAATAGTGTTACAAACATAGGCAATAGTAGCAATAAAGACAGCCACAGAAAATTGAATGAAAAATGAAAACAGG